TTTTTTTTTTTTTTTTTTCAATTTATACATGTCATCCTCGCGAAGGGGCCAAGCTAGTTTCAGCGCGGCAGATTCCAGCCGCGCGATCTCGAAGATCGCACGGCCAAAATCGGCTGCGCCCAACCTCACTTCGTGGCCGCTCAAAAAGAAGTTGATGAAGGTCGGCTATGGTGTTGATGTCATGTACATTGGTCTTCAAAGTCGAAGTCAGCCTGTTGCGCGAATGCGGATGTAGTAGGATAGGCAAGTTGTGTAGGCTTGGCGCTGGGCGCCAGACAGAGAGGAGCGACATTGGATACTGTGTTGGTGTGGCCTGAGGGCTTGAACATTGGCGCATAAGTTCATTGTATTGCTCTTATTTGGATGGAATCTCGGTGCATTTGTGCTCTCTGCTTGTACACGACTACTTGGACATCTGTGTGATTTTGCAACTTGGCTTTCTGTATATCGTTCTCACTCATATTCCTTGCACAAGCCTCAAGGGTTAAAAACATTTACTGGTAAATCCTCATCTCTGTATCTATGTACTTGCTTAATTTGTTGTGCTAATTACCGCAATGTGTGTTGAGCAATTCTCATCTGATCATCCATTAGATTATGGGTTTTGTTCTTCTTTTCTATGACTTTGGATCATCCTATCTATCATCTTGTGTTACCATACCACACGATTGCAATAGGACACTGCATCCCTTGTCCAGCTCAATTGACTTTGTATTCCCAAGCCAAAGCCTGGTCATGGCTCCGGTTTCATCATTGTACCTCATCTTTGAATAATTGAAGATCGAAGCCTTGGGCACTGGGCCCGTTTTGCCCTCTTTTGTGATAAAAAGATAGAAAACAAAGAAAGATCAGGACACCTATGGATAAATTGGGGGTGTTTCATCTATCCCAGCTTGGGTGGCCACATACTGCCCACTTGTACGGATGATGTCCATGTGTCAAGATATTTTCCGTTATAGGTTCCAATCATGACAGCACACAAATAATGGTATAAGAAGGGTTGGTAACTTGATAGTAGACATAATGAGAAGGATGGGGAGGAAGATAGCACACTATATATATGATCATGATTGTCTTTGGCGCATGCGTCTGGCAGGTTTTTGTTACATCACCCCCAACTGGCCATGACATCTAGTGAGGCAGTGACTACACTAAGAGGAAAAGATCCAAAACGGGGAAAGCACATGTCCTTCAAGGTCTTTTTGTACGAAAAAGGATTCAATCCACAAGGAGAGCAACACACCGCAAACATACACCAAGAACGCAAGTAATGATAACCAAAGGAGACGACGGACAAAGTGTCCACTTGTTCAAGGGTACAAAAGGGGGGGACAAAACAAAGGTGTACAGGTCCACTTGCCAAGTCATCTTGCATGAGCAATTGCCTTTCATCAACGCAGGCATGCTTGACAACTGCAGCAACCACCCACAGCAGTCTCTCAAGAGCTGCCTCCTCACAGTCATTCCCACCAATAGAGTCTGAAGCCAGTCCCGGACTGTTTGTTCCGTTACTCCTGCTGCTGTAACTGGCCAGGATTGTGGATAGCATGGGGATCAGAGGAGGCAAAAGATTGCGACATATGGCATAACTACAATTGGCTGGGATTGTTAACAGCATGCAGAGAAGACGAAGAAGCAGCAACACAACACGCCCTGGATGGCCGTTCTGGACAGCATTTGGGATTACTAAAGTAATGAGATCCAGGTAACCAATTGGTCTTGGCGTGTGAAGCTCAGCTTCTTTCCCATCAAGAAACTGCCAGAGGGAGACAACCACAACAAGAGAGAGACAGCACGATCATCAGCAAAGAGTGTATGGACATTTCAAAGCAATAATAAATAATGCAGTCCATTCTGCGGATGTCAGTACAGTTCCTTTCTACAGGTAGGTTCAAAACAATGAAAGTCGGACAACTATTTTCCCAGGGGAACCCCTGACAGCATTGGCCACTCTCGACTTTGAGGATTGACTGTCACATCTTCCCAATCTTTTGAGAGAACACCTCCCAACCTGAATTTCTAGCCCTCAAACCAAAAACAGTCCTCAGAAACAGCCGAGTCAATATCTCTCCGCCGGAAACTCAGGGTGCCTGAAAAAACCTGCTTTCCTAAAACTGATCCTGAGCTGGATGTGATAGGTGGCCTTTGCCATGCGTCCATTTTTTATAGGTGCAAATACCCCCCCTCTCCCTCACATGAATAGGTGGCCTTTGCCATGCGTCCATTTTTAGTGTGATAATAGCTGCCAGTGTCTTCGGACCAGCGCTCAAATATCTGTCATTCCAACTCTGCCACTGCTAACCCCTGATGGGCCTGATCTCCTGAGGTTACTCTTTTTTGTCTCTGTTACAATGACATGTGCAAATTTTGCATCCATTCTCAGGAATTTCTTGAACCTCAAGTCTTACCGTGCAATTTGGCCATCCCTCATCCCCCATATCTTCTCTCTCATGAACGTTTCCCTTAGGTCCTCCTCAACCTCCTCCTTAGCAAGGTACTCTGAGATCAACTAGCTCTTCTTCTCCAAGGTGCCTGTGTAGCAACCCTACCATGATGCAGAGAGGGTGGCTTTCCACGGGAGGTAAAAAGGTTTCTTGAGAAGGTGGAGGGAAACTTTTGTTCAACTAGATCGGTCAAGAGGATGATAGGATGAGCTGGCAATTCTATACCTATAACCTCCTTCCAGACTTCCTCACTTTTTCCCAAATCATTTTTGACTCTTCACAGGATAGTAAGCAACGAGACAAACTTTTGCGTTGGACTTGGAGATTTCACACAAGGCTGCCATCAGTGCCACGTAACTTCTCTCTTTTTTTTATTAAAATTAAAAAAAGAAAACAGAACCTTAACTGTTGCATGCCTTAGTAGACAGGAATGGTGGACCAAGAATCACCAGAATGAGAAGAAACACAAATGCAATAAACGAGTGAACTGACTCATAAACTTGGAAGTAAGACTATGCATTCGTCATCAGCACTTGGAGTGACAAGGAGGGAGACAGATATGGATGAAAGATCCCTCCTTGCACGCCACACGCACGGGGAGATGACCATAGATGATGGAGCGGGGGGAAAAGGAAGAAAAGTGGGGAAAGCAGGAGAGACAGGAGAGTGATAGGCCAGGCACAATAGTCGAAATGATAATAGTCTCTCGTCTTATCTTACAATCATCTCCAGATACAATGTCAAGTCTGAACCTGAGAGCAGTCTTCTTGAGATAGGGATGGACGGATCGAGAGAGAGGGACGGATGGATGGATTCAGGGACGGAGGGAGGGACCAACAGACAGACGGACTGATGGAGAGACTGACGGACGGGTGGATGGACGCACACACGCACGCATGCTCGCACGGACGGAGGGATGGATGGATGGATGCATGGATTAGCAGGCCGATAATCGATTGCTGCAAAATCAATTTTCGTCATATCTGAGAATCAAACTGCAGTCTTTTGTTTTAGTGTTTAAACTTTCAGCACTAACTTACAATTGTTTAGCTTTTTGAATTTTTTTCTATAGTCTGCAATTTTGATGGGTGCTCATAGTCTCTCAGATCGAAGTGCAGGAAAGTTGTGTCAAGGCTGTGTTGCAATATTTCAGAAAAGCTTGAATTTTTCTTTCAATTTCCGTAAACACCTTGTCCAACCTATCGGGTTGACACTTTGAAAATCTGGATTTCTGCTTTTCGTTTTCTTGATTAGCGGAAGTTGATTATAGGGATCGGCAAATCATGGGGGAATCAACTGTCTGAAATTGGACGTGCTTTTCCAAAGTCCGCCCTACAGCGGTAACTTCTGCTTTTCGTTTTCTTGATAAGCGGAAGTTGATTATAGGGATTGGTAAACCATGGGGGAATCAACAGTCTGAAATTGGAAGTGCTTTTCCAAATTGCCCTACCTCAAAGATCCCACTTGCATAGTTGGTTCAAACCTCATGTTGGGTAAATCATGGAGGAACAACAAAAGGAAGGCCGTACAACATGATGTTATATGTGTGAGGAAATGAGCGATAGCGAAATGACAGAAATCCAGAGTGCAAAATCACATCGAAAGCCAGCAAGTCCAACGCTGTCCAGAAAGCGGTAATGCACTGATATTCCACCAACGGAGAACCAAAGCACTGAATCCGAATGTCAATGAGAGCATACTCTCGCCACCACCAACATATGTATCCAGAGTCCTTCCTCCTACTTGGCGCTCAGCGCCCAGACTACTATCACACAGCTTACTAGCAGCCTACGAAATTGACAATGCATCCTGTTGACGTCAGCAGCAGAACTGACGTACGCGAAGATGTCAACCTTTGTAGACCATCGCCAAGACCAGGTACGTGCCCTCACATCATCAACCTCGTCTCTCTCTCTCTCACCCTTGACTTCATCACCCACGTCTTCTCCCTCATACACGAAGACCACCACCACCTCCACTGACTTTGTCCAATCCAAGCCCGGCTATGGGGGCTGGCTATGGTGCCGCCTTCAGCAGCGCCCTTCTTCTTCCTCAACGCCCATCCGCTAGCGCACAGCAAGCAGCCTGTGAGCGCACGCTCCAGCAGCGCTGCCGCTTGCACAAGCCAGTCCCGGAATGTCTTCACCTCAGCCAGGCACTTTGCTATATGCAAAGTGGCCTGGCTGGTTCGCTGCTTGGCCTGCCTCATGTGTGCCTCGTAGCTTCAGATTGGGCCAAAGTGTCTGCGCCCAGGCCCGTTCAGACAGCGGCCTGGGACTGAATTGGTTAGGCATGCCCAACCACCCAGGCACAAAAGTGCGGTCTACCCTGCTTCGACCACGTTGCCGGAATAGCCTGGAAGGCTCGCGGATATTTCCAATTCTCACGAACAAAACGGATGTAACCAACTAGCGCATGGCAACTGTCTGACGCCCATGAAGATTTGCAAAAAATGACAAATTCGGGGCACATTGAGGTTCAAGGGGGCCCGCCTTCACTTAGGGCGGGCACGCGACTGCTGCAGGGCCTTATGCCGAGGGGCAACCCTCGCACATGGACTCTGGCTCAACGATCATGGTGTGCCGATGTCAGAGCCGAACAGGTTGGAAGGATGAAGTCTGATCCAGTAGCTGATTGCACAGTCGGCTAGATGGGGTCACCATCTGCCCTCATCTTCTCTGTTGTTTTTCCAGATATGTCTTGGCCCAAGCTGGTTACATAGAAATTCAACATAGAAGGAGTGTTGACAAAGCTGGTGACATAGAAATTCAACATGCTAGTAGATAAGAAAGCAACCTTCAATGAGGAACATCCAATTGGTACAGCCTGGCTTAGTAGGGGTAGGGATGACGGTTGGTATGAATATTCTACAGACTGTACAAAGTGGGAGATGGTATAATAGGATGGACTGGGGCAAGGGGAATGACACTCTAGAAATAGCAGACTGTTGGAGTAGGAAAGGAAATGGGTATGGAAGTAGTTATGGGGTGGAGATAACTTAGCCACGGTAAGAAATGATGAAGGACTGGCATGCGGCCCGAATGACTGCTCAGAATACCCCCCTCCGGTGCCATGCTCCCTTGGTGGCTGCTCTACTGCGTGTCTGGGTGCTGCTAAAAGTAAGCCAACCGACCAGTAGAACACCCCCGAGAACAGATCAAGGCTGGGGGATGGGCGCTCTGTAGCAGCCCCCCTTGCTTAGGTGTCTAGTGCCGCAAGGGCTGGGCTGACCCCCTCCTCTTATCTTTGCTGTTATGAACTTGGTTGTCTGACGATTTTATCGCCACTCACACACAGAGAATCTCACACACGCCCATACATGTACAAGACACAAAGGAGAGGAGACAGAGTCCAAACTGCACACAAATAAAAGTAAGCAGCGGAATTCACAGATGCACAGATGGGGAGAAGACACACCGTGTTTCTCACTCTCTGACAAACTCCCAACAACCAATCACAAGAAGACACCTGCGAGGATAACAATAGGATTCACACTGATGATGAGCCAACTCAAACCAATTGCCCCAATTATCGTTACAGAGTTTATCTCAGTATCTCGCCACACTCAGAACACCACACACTACTCCCTATCCTGCACCCAGTTAGTAGCGCAACACTGAATCCGCCTCCCAGAGGCCAGCGCCAACCATCCAGATGAAGAACATGAATCGCGATGAAGTCTTCAGTGCCGATGAGTAACTCTGACGAAGAAGATGGCAGCTATGGCTGCCACACCACTGACGAAGCCCTGACAATCTCTGAGGACCGAGGGGCGACAGTGGTCCACCCACATACGCTCAATGAAGAGCCTCAACACAGCCCAGCCAATTGCAGATACCCTCAGGGGTAGATGCTCAGCGGGTGCCCCAGCTATGGCAAACACCGGCAGGCTGACTATGGCTGCCGTCCACGATGAGGGTCTCAGGATGCCCCTGTAGACAATCACCACCACCAAACTTGCTTGGCTCAAAACGCTACGACGTAAGAATCAAAAGCCAAAAGTCCTCAACAGTCCTACCACCCTCTATTCATAGAATCGACACTACCCTAGACTAGGACTGACCGATACCGTTCAGTTTGGGCCTGTAGGCCCTACCCGACTGAGGGCTGTACCCGCTGCAGTGGGACGTGGCCACGGAGGCCTCCCAAGCTAGTGGCAGACCGGGTCTGCTACGGCACTAACCGCTAGGGGGAACTCGGGTCTGCAGTTTCCAAAAACTGTAGATATGTCCCTCACGAATTACCCTTAGGGCTAGTCTCATGGTTAGTCCCTGACGCCAACAAAAATTAGAATCTGACCCTGAGACAGCTATTCTACAACCTCGCAGTCAGACCTCAACAGTAGAAATCAGCAAGCCATTGCATCTCTCTATGTTATATGTGTACAAATGTACTACAACATGCTTGCCGGTGATAAGTAACCGGACTGACGTCCCCCAGAATAGAAGGGGATTGTATTTGAAAAAAAAGAAAACAAGAAAAACAGAAAAGAGAAAAAAAGGGAAAAAAAAGAAAGCAACCTTCACTGGTCAGATGCAACCAGTCTAACTTTACCAAAGCTGAAAAGTCTTGAAGCTCGTTCATTCTGGGACTTTGCATGCCAACAAGAACAACTGGTTACAGTCATTACCTTGATAACGTCCTGCAGAATTGGTTCCATGGCAGACAGTCCCGAAAACCCACTCCCACCGCCAGCGCCAGCCTTTCCCCCATTTGTCTGCAAGCGATGAAGCTCCTTGCCGGTGATAAGCAACCGGACTGATGCCCCCCAGAATAGAAGGGGATTGTATTTGAAAAAAAGAAAACAAGATAAAAAGAAAAGAGAAAAAAACTTTAAAAAAGAAAAAAAAAAGAAAGCAACCTTCACTGGTCAGATGCAAACAGTCGAACTTTACCAAGGCTGAAAAGTCTTGAAGCTCGTTCATTCTGGGACTTTGCATGCCAACAAGAACAACTGGTTACAGTCATTACCTTGATCACGTCCTGCAGAATTGGTTCCATGGCAGACAGCCCCGAAAACCCACTCCCACCTCCAGCGCCAGCCTTTCCCCCATTTGTGTGCACGCGATGAAGCTCCTGATACCACCTCACCAACTTTAGCTTCACAGCGGAGGTAACCCCAGGTCCCTCGGCACCAGCTGGGCACACCTCTTGGAACTCATGTTTTCTAGCAGCCAGCCTCTGTTTTACCTTCTTTATCTTTCTGCGCAATGCTTGTGTTCTGTTGGAGCTTCCAACAGAATCAACAGACCCTTTGATAATCATTCTGCACTTCTCAGTTTCTGATGATCCCCCAGTCACTAAGCCCTCGGCTACGCCAGGCCAATTACTGCACACTTCAGGATCTGCACTGCTCGTCATACATGGTTGGCAACTGCTTATGCTTGTGCCACTACTTCGCCCCTCCCGGCTTGCTGGCCTGCGCGCATTAGATGCACGGGATGCATTTTCCCTTGACTTCAACGGGCAATCATGATTCATTACTTGTCCCTCCCTCCGCCTTTCCAAATCAACAGCTGCCCTCTCACGGATCTGAAGACACGCGAAACACTTCAAATCAGAAAAGTTTTCTTCCCCCCGTCCCCACTCCCTGAGCCAAAACGCACACATGACAGGACATACGGGTGAACACAATCTCTCTCTCTCTCTCTCTCTCTCACACACACACACACACACACACACACACACACACACACACACACACACACACACACACAAAATCAGTTCTTAGGTATGTTTGTCTCTCTTTTCCTACGCTTTTTGCCTATTTTTTCTTGCTTCTTGTATGCCCGGCTGAGCACCTCTAAGCAGTGCCAAACAGTCAGGCATTCCTTGTTTGGAGTGCCTGCAGCACTCTTAGGGGGGGGCCTCAGTTCGGATGTGTGTGTTTCGTACGGGTGATGATGGATGTTCGTCTTGGTGACCAACAGTCTGCGGGGTTCACCAATGATGTGAGTAGGTGATGTGCCACTTTGCTCCATGTCGGATGTGTAGACTGCCTTGCCTTGTCTGTGCTCCGCCGCAGCCTTGCTGCCCGTCCCACTTGCTCCGCGTGTCGTTCGTTGCGGGCTGCTGTGTTCACTGTGTGGTGTGGCTGTTGTGTTGGTGTTGCCCTGTGCTTCGCTGCACTGCTGCCTTGCTGCCCATTCGCGTGCTGTGCCTTCTGCGTTCCTTGCTGCCCATTCGCGTGTCGTGCCTTCTGTGTTCCTTGCTTGTGTGCCGTGTAGTGTGGCTGCTGTGTTGGCATTGAATTGTGCTTTGCTGCACGGTTGCTGTGCTGCTCGTCCGCTTGCCCTGTCATTCCTTGAAGTCCTTTTTGACGTTGTACAGTTGGGTTGCTCCGGCAGCGTTGCCTGGTGCTTCGCTGAGTTGTTGCCCACTGCTGTGTCCCACTTGTGGACAGTCTGCCTTCAACGAAGGTCGAAGGGTTATTCATGACCCAAACCATCAATATGAAACGGTTTTCACCTTTTAGCAGTAGCGAATGCAGATCCCAGGGCTCGATCCCTAGTTCTCACCTTACCTGTGTACCGTATCTGTGTCGACACCGAGTGTTTGAACCCTAGTTGCGGCGCACGACGGTGCGCCGGTTTGCGCACGAGCAGCGCACGTAGCGCCGCGCACCGCACGGCGCACCGGCGCGCCCCGAACCGCAAAAATTAGGGGTCTGCCAAAAAAAAAAATTATTCGGTTTTTGTTACCAAGGCGGGCCCCCACCCCGTAAAAAATGACGGCCGGGGCGCGCGAGTCCAGAAACCGGTCGCACCCCGCCTCCGAAAATTTTTTTGGGGGAAGGGCCTGGCGATTTCGAAATTTCAAAATCGGCAGACCCTTCCCCCAAAAAAGTTTTCGGACAAGGGGGACAACATTCGGATCTTGGAGCGGGCACCGAAGGCGGGAAGCAGCGCGGGGAAGGGTGACGAAGGCGAGAAGCAGCACGGGGGCGGGAGACAGACGAAGGAGGGAGGGAGGGACACGGCGGGACACCATCGCCGACATCAGCAGCAGGACACCATCAACTCAAAGCGGCGGGAAGCGGCAGCGGGCAGCGGGAAACGGGCGAGCAGCCATGAAGGTGGGCTCCCACCGGCCATCTCTCTCTCCCTCTCTCTCTCTCTCTCTCTCTCTCACACACACACACACACACACACACACACACACACACACACACACACGCGCGCGAAACCAAACAAACAAGTTTGGCGGTGTATATTTCCATGTTATAGCCGTAGATTCGTCCGATTTTGCTCATCCTCTCGGTGGGAACGGCATGAGGCCGGGCGCAGGGTTGGAGACTTACCTGTTGCCCGGTGCGTTCATCATCCTATCGATGGAAAACTCTCTCTCTCTCTCTCTCTCTCTC